GGAATTCGGGTGCGGGTGATTTATTGCTTACAAAGCCCATCACTTGCGATGTTAGAAACCATAATTGATATTATGATTGCTCAATATTAGGTTGATCTTGAACTATCCGCTGATTATTTAGGCTAACGGTTTTGCTGATTTTGGTGATTATTTTCTTATCGTTTTGATGTTGTTTGGGAGCGAATAATTTTTCATACATTTTGTTATGTACGGCTCACGTATAAGTTGAGCTTAAAACCGCTTGCTAGTCAAGCTGCTATCAGATTTTGTAAAATTGGGTAAAGCTCCTATCAGACTGTGTAAAATGGGTAATGGTAAGCTCAGAGGACGATTACAAGATAAGGACGAAGGTCAAGAAGAGGAAACCTACCCAGTGGAAAGAGAGGCGGGCCTGTTTAGGGTACGGACCGACACTCAATTTGCATCGTGTGATATGCCCCCGGCGATCTAGTATGGCCTCCGCGGCGCATTTCACGCGCTGTTACCGCGGTACACCCCTCCCTCGTCGTCTCGCGTTTGAGTCTCTCATTTAGCAGCCATAGAGAGAGAAAGAGCGCGCGTTAGCTTTGAAGAGGGCAGCATTGATGAGAGTCGCATATATGCGCTATACAACGGGTAAGGGAGGACTCTCATCTCTCGGGTACTAGGCCATTTCTCGGTTTCTCTTTCGTGTAGCACTGACCATAACCCATTTTCCAATGATTTGCGTTTTCACGGTGAATTCCTCCTTTGACCTACAACGCATCGAAACTATTGTCGCATATTGTCCCAGAATTTCTGTCAACTGTAGTCGAGGCGAGTCAACATTTTGTAGTGCTATCTAGTGTCTGGGAACTCTCCCTCATGCCACTACTGCAGCATCTCTGCTTTTTTTATTGCTTCGGAAGTCTTAGTTCTGAAGCTGCCCAAATCGAATGCATTTCTATTTCGTCTCGGCTTTTTTTCAATGACCTGTGGACATTTTTCATTTCGACCCGGCTTTTTTCACTGGACCGTGGACATTTTTCATTTCGACCCGGCTTTTTTCACTGGACCGTGGACATTTTTCATTTCGACCCGGCTTTTTTTCATTCATTTAGGACACTTTTCAAAACATTGGTGAGATTTTTCAGATCAAACTGGACACATTTTCTAGAATGTCAAATAACATTTTTCGCTGAAATTTGACTGAAAATTGACGGATGTGCTGAGATGTTCAAATCCTGGAACAAAAACTGAAAATCTCTCATTGGAACTCTAATCTGCCCCATACACGTTTGTTTCAGCGATCCTCTTTTCTTCATCGAACCTTCTCTAGGATCGTCCCGAGTATTTGAATCCCTTCCCTTATGCGACCTTGTTCTTGCAATGTTTCTGTCTCAAGGGATCAATACGCATACAATGGTGAACGAAAGCGCCAAATGTGATCAGGATGGCTGAGCGGAGTCATTCAGGAAAGTGTAGAACGGTTACGACACAATTGCAGTTTACGTCCCTTAACATGAATGATTACAATTTAAAGACCGCGGCAGACGGACAAGTCCCTCTCGTATTATGGAACTTGTGATTGGTTTTCCGGCTTTTTGTTTGGTTTTTGTTAGAGAAGATACCGATGTTGTTCATCCTTCGAATATGACATGTATTTTCTTGACTCAAATGAATGTTCCGCGATATATTTGTGTTTGTGCGAATGTGTTTTTGAATGTTTGACATAAAAGAATACACGTGACCTTAAAATGAAGGTGGTTTACGCTTCATTTGAGCGGTGTCTGGCTTGAAATGAAAAAAATCCATCTTGAAATGAAGAATGTCTACGGTCATTTGAAAAAGATTCAAGTTGAATTGAAAACTGTCCACGGTTCATTGAAAAAAAGCCGGGTCGAAATGAAAAACGTCCTGAGCTATTTGAAAAATCTCCGGGTCGAATTGAAAAATGTCCACGATTTTTTGCAAAACAGCAACTTTGATTTGAACGATGTCCATTTTCAAGTGGAAATGGTATATTTGCTAATCGATGTCTTAGTTCTGAGCTGCCCAAATTCTGAATGCATTTGCTTTATTCACACTCTCATCAATAGACGGAGTTCATGTAACCTGTATGAATCTCTTATAATTTAAAATTCATAAAAAGGCGCTCATGACACTTGGAGGGGAGGGGGCGGATCTAGGGCATTTAGGAAATTTACATGTTAGCCATGTTTAGACGCTTTTGGTTACATGAAACCCTGCTCAAACATGTATTGACCGTATTGGTACCATGTGTCAAACCCGGTGATAGAGCAGTTTATATAAGGCTGACGCGACTATCGATTCGCTCCACTCTTCGCCGGAGAGCACAGACTAAACATAACTTCGCCAATGGAAGTCAAATCTTCCCCAAGAATTAGATAACCTTCAAACGTTATAATCAGACAAATGCTTTCGTCTGTTTTGAGTGCTTTGTTTGAAATGCCCCCCCCTCCGCCCTCCTCCCCCCCGCCAAGGACATGAGCGCCCATAAAAATATGCAAGATGTGATGAGCTCTCGAATGACATCAAACTCACCAAAACTAACCTGTAGTAGAGCTAGTTTTTTCTCATGGCGGCACATGACTTCCCAATAGGTTGCGATTGGGAATACAGGTAAACTCTCAAGAATAACCTCTCAACGTGAAGGTGAGTTTAAAATCGCCAATAACTCAATTATTCTATTTGATTCATCGATTCGTCTAGTCTATCGAATAGTTCTGTCATTTTCTTGTTGCATGCATAAATTTTCGTATAACTTCGTATAATGTATGCTAGTTAGCTACTTCTCTGTTAACTAAATAGTAAAGCATTAATCATTCTGTGGTCCTTTTTGAACAAGCAGGAATATTGTTCAGTCAGTATTGGTTATTCATTCGCGTCACAGAATATGTTATGATTCACCCTTTTCGCCTCTTCGTAATGGGTATCGTTCGCGACATTTGGCAACTAAGGCCGACGTCATACTTTGCGCTTCGATTAGCGATTCGCTTCGATTCCTTAATCTTAATTCAGCAAATTGTGACTTTGGCCTGAGAGCGGTTGCGAAACGATGAGCCTCTATAGATGCTACGTACAGCTGAACCTGGTATTACGGCTACACGCTGTACTGCCACCTGATGTGTACACCAGTGTGCATGCGACGACTGATAAAATATAAACAACCTGCATTCAGCGGGAGCTCTCCAGAAATCGGCATTCAGACTGGTGAGACAATTCGACTGCGCCAAGGGATGTCATTTGACCTAGGTTTAGCTTTTGTGTGTCCGAATCTACGTTTGGTTTGGTTTTTTTTTTTTTTTAATTTCACAAGTAGGATTCTCGTGGCAGACAACATAAATTATGAGTTCGTTTACATGCGGCCTACGCGTTAGGTAATTCCTATCTCTCGAATCAGTTTCAACCTTCCTTTCTTTCTTTCAAATCTGTTCGTGTATTTGAGTACGCTCTTAGGCGCGTTTGCACTAGTCGCGACTCGAGAGATTAGATAGTTAAAGGTCGAACAGGGAATAAGATATAGTAGAGTGAACAGAATTGCGCGATTGGATACATATCGATTGAAATCGCTGGAGAGTAGTAGATTGGGCGACTTCAGAGCGAATAGATCAATACATATCTAATCTTGTCAGCGCACTATCCTAATCTACTACTATCCTGATCTCCTACTCTACTACTATCCTACTATCGTAATATCGCAATGCTATTGGCGATCCACTCTCAGCATTTGCAAAGTCATACGTTATCGTAATCTTGTCAGCGCCAATCTCCTACTGGCTTACTACTATGCGCTAACGCACTATTCAATCGTCTGCCCGTCAATACATATGTTTTTCATTGTCGCGTACTATCCTAATCTCCGGAGTCGCGAACTATGAACGCGATCTTACTGTTCTAACCTTACCCTTAGCCTATCCTATCTACCACCTTTGAGCTTCCAATTTTTTTACAATCATGCTAAAATCGTAGTGGCTGAATGCAGCTTCTTTGCCTTAAACTGGTCCTCTGATCTGATTTTGGGTAATCTATCTCTTAACTTTCTATGATTGAGGGTAAATCAAATCATCTTGCCGTCGAGCCTTTTCCTAGCACTGTGCCAACAGTATCCTTGTAATTTACAGCTGAGGGGCTCAATAAATTTTGCATCTGAGTATTATAATAGGTGAAGTTACCTGTTCTTCGTCAAAATCCACTGCCATGCTCTTGCCAATGCGTCATGAATGTCCAATGTAAGGTTCTGATTTTTTTATGTCCCGATACAATTGTGATGTTTCGATACCTTTAGCATAGCGACAGGTTCAGGTCAGGCTTCAGGTTTCTCATAATTTTTTTGTCTGTTCAGAGCCGCCAAGAGTTGTGGAAGGTGCAGTGAAGGAACGTTTGGCTCCCTTCGGTCAGACAGCCACAAACATGTCCTTTGAGCGTTTCGCTAACAATTCGTTCGAGAAAAGAGGGGTACGTTTTTGAAGGTTCACGCGTTATTGCGGGAGAGGAATTCTACACTGTATGTCATTGTGCCACATTCGTCGTTTCTCGTCGTCGTGCCTTGGGTGTTTGTCCGATCTCGCTGTATTGTGCAATTCCTCTCATAAGGATTTGTTTTTAGTTTCTCCGTAGTTGATTTCTCAGTTTCGGTATAGTTTTCTATAACTCATTTCTCTGGAACTACTTTGCTCTATTTATTGTGTGACCTCATTACCTGCAAATCCAGTGCCGGCCTGAGGTGATGTGCTTCGCTTCCTGTGTTGGAATATGAAATTCTGTGACAAACATCCACCCACGTATTACTTATCAGAACCACCAGGAGTTCCACTGATCTTTTTTACGCCATGGGATAATTCAAGTTCACAACTGCCTCATCTATTAGATGCTTTTGAAGTCAGCTCATGGTTAGAAAAAGATTTCGAGTTCATTCTTATCTTGGAATATTGTGCGTGGCACATCTATAACACACGACTCGAAGCAGGGTCAACCCTATCGTTGTGACTCTTCGAAAATTTTTTACGACCCCCCCCCTTCATGGTTGATTTGATACGACCCCCCCCCTTGTAGCGATGTGATTTCAAATTTGCTGGTTGGCGCCCTTTTGCCTTGCTGACGGTGGAGCGCATCTGCTCAAGGTGAGGAGCCGTCGAACGGGAATGTGAAAAGTTTAGGAGTTTTTTTTGTTTAATTTCAGGTAGTCCGGAAGATATCGGCGGATGTTGGATCAGCGTGGTTCATCCTTCTCAAGGAGTGCCCATTTTTTCTCAAACCCTTCACAATGAAAAAGTTATAAGCCAAAAAATTAGATTGCAAGAGAATTTTTACACTCCTCTTTCTAGGGCTATAACTTCCTTCATGTTCGAGCTTCAGCGCCATAGTGATTTGATTTAAAAAATTCAAATTATTCTCTAGCCAATCATGGGTATAAATTCTTCGAAAGTTAATTTATTAAAAATTTTGGACGTTGTGACTTTCTCTGGTGCAAACCGACTTTTTTGCTTTCAAACGATCATAACTTCCTTCAAAGTCATTCATTTAGGAAGCTGAACGCGATATAACACACTCCAGGATTCAAGCTTTCTAACGAGTACCCAAACGTTCCTGCAAAATCAGTAGTTCAAAATTTAGTCCCGTTGTAACCATTATAAAGGGCTGGTGTAACCATTTCTTTGAAAACGCGACTTTTTTACCTTCAAACGATCATAACTTCCTTAAAAGTCATTCATTTAGGAAGCTGAACGCGATATAACACACTCCAGGATTCAAGCTTTCTAACGAGTACCCAAGCGTTCCTGAAAAATCAGTAGTTCAAAATTTAGTCCCGTTGTAACCCTCAAATTTGAGGGGTATTTTTTGAGCCACTTTCTCGAAAGCGCGAGTTTTCTTAGGTTTCACTGCCCGTAACTTCTTGGAAGACCAATTTTCATGTTTAATTTAGGATGTGCTAGAATGCTCCGAGCATGCGCTTGCACTACATCCCTTGCCTTGGTGCGCGCCACGCCTCGGGCGCCCTTCTAATTCGCTGATTCATTTGAAAGCTCATAACATTCACAAACACTTTCTTTGCTGCGTTTGCTCTTCTCCTTCGTACCACTATCCATACTCAGTAGGACATACAGAGTTGTTTTAATGGATTATTCTATCGAGATTGGTTTTGTTATTGACAGCCAAGAATTTTCAGTGCCGGCCACCAAAAAATTACGACCCCCCCCCCTCCAAGCTCAATTCAGTACGACCCCCCCGTTGTGACTCGTCACAACGTAGGGTTGACCCTGCTCAGCAGTCTCCTAAAAATCTTTCTTTTTTGCATGTGTTTACTTCACAGCTTTCAGCATCCCGCTCCAGCTGTGCTCACGGCTATGCTTCAGCAGCGGCAAAATCAGGCAGCTCGCAGTGGTAGAGAGAGCTCACACCCATGTGGAACAACACCGAATTCTTTCCGTGACAAGCCAATATGCAGTAGTAACGAGGAACCAAGTCAACAGGTATTAATGAGATATCCTCGAGTCTTGTCAGCATTCGCAGGAGCGGTGAGACCTTGCATTTGAAGGTGAATGAGATTGTCGCGTATTTAACAGTTCGATGGAAATGTCCACTAGATAGGTTTGTCGTCTATAAGTCTAACTGTTATGAAATGAGGGATTTCAAACATTCGAACCGCCTCATCGACGAATAGAACGTCGTTCATTATCGCATTTTAATACCTCATTACGGCCCCGAAAACGGGCCGCCCTCTTTCACGACCCACCTCTCACTCTGTGACCTCAGTCGAGGTGTTGCACGGCACGCTTGACCTCTAGCTAGAAGGTACGCGCCTCTGATAACAACTGGGATTATGATGTTTGCTATGGTGTTGCTTTAATGTCATGATTGTTTAGATGGTGAAGAGCAAAGAAGAAAGAAAACGATCATTCATCGATAATCAACATCACCAGTATGAGACAAGAACTCAGCAGGAATGGAGAAGCAGCACCAGAAGCCAGTGGGAGGAAAGAAAGGTAGAATTCGTATAGTTCTCTTTCTGATATTTGTTGTTGTTGTTTCCGACGAACTGTTCCATTTGATAATATTTTGCTTGTTTGAAATTTTGGCGTTAGTTCTTCATATTGGTCATCTTTGAAGAACATTTAGATCTGCGTTTAGCATTCAAATAGGGATTCAGTTATTCATTGTGCGGTGCATAACCGTTACTGAGCGCTCATGTCCTTTGGGGGGGGGGGGGGGACATCCAAGTGAATGAGCTGGAAATCACTGTGCTTGGAACTAAGCCCTGAGAAGGGAAAGGGACCTGTGGATGTGAATAATGTGAGTACTCTCTGGCGTTTCTCCCCATTGCAGGGCGTCCTAGTGCCTACCATTGGCCCTGTTTTAAATGTGCCCGCAAGAACATGAGCGCCCTGTTACTGAGCGAAACGGCTTCAAGTGTTACTTCCACCTGTTTCAGCTTGACGAAAACTTCAATGAGGTTCGAAGTGGTGACTGGGCAGACGCAAAGCTACGTACGGAAAGCGAGAGCGCCATACCGGTTGATGTGCAGCATCAAATGGACAAACTCCAGAACAGCAGATTGTCTGACCAAGTGTTCGACGATCGTGAGGTGCCTGTAAAGCGCATTGAGCTCTACAACGGCTCAACACCTACTCGAATCTACACAACTCAACAAATGCAAAAAGGCAGCATCGGTGGAGAAAGGCCTGACCACCAGTTGCCTGTAATTGGATCACAAACGCCGGAAAATCTGCGGAAAAGTCAAGGTCCGGGAAATGTGCCATATCGAATGGATGGGGAAGAGTTGTGTAAACCAGGTCGTTCAACTGTAATATCGAAAGAGGCGGTCGAGCAGTTAAGGCAGTCGGTAAGAATAGTCAATAATTCAAGCTGGGCACTTTATTGTAAGCTGCAGTTTCGCTCTATAATGATTTACATGGAAATTAATTGTACAAGGCATCTTCTATTCTAGGTAGTTGCTGAATCACGCTTGCCCTCAACACCTAGGAGGAAGACGTATGAAAGTGAAAATGAAGTGCCCCCTCCAATAGATATCAAAGATCTGTCAATGACAGATCCAGTGCCGAGAGGCTCCATTGCTGCGCAGGACGCCCCGTATGTGACGCCAACACGTGCACCACGTATCTCTGTGAATGTATGGTTTTGAGTCCAGAATTGAAGATCTGTTGAAATTGAGAACAATTGGCTAGATATTCTACTTACACATTAATAAATTTAGATGAAATCACCGTCGTCATTGTGGAGTCCGACTTCTCGAGGATGGGAACGCCGCAGATTCAGCAGTGATCGCGAAGGTTTTAGGCTTTTGTATCTTTTCTCTCTCATTAATCAAATTGCTACGCTTTTTTTTATCATTTTGTGCTTCCTATCACTTTCAGAGTAGCATTTCGGTTGTTGAATTCCGAAATTGTGGTGGACATCATGTTCACAGTTCTCATAGAAACCGTTTTCTTTCCAGATAGCACACCATACAAGTGGCAGGTCCCACAAGTTGACACTCGTAAAGGAAATAGAGAACCTGATGCACGTTCCAATGAAAGCCGAACAAGTAATTGTGGCAGTACAGTCAGGTATCATGGAACATCTCGTCTTAAATTGATTGTCTGCCATCCTCTTAGTATGAGTGAAGATGTACGATTTGAAGGAGACATGTACCAAGGGGAAGAATACGCGATTTGGCACGTCTCTTTGATGGTTTGACTCGAGAAGCTCAGCGAGAATCAGAGGTGCTCAGAGGGAAGTCGCTTCCACCTCCAAAACAGCGGTCGAAGTATTTTCGAACACGCTCTTTACCAAGACCGCAGGATTCGATGACTCGTGATGACACACAACCTCCGAAACAAGTGGCACCGTTTTCAAGTGTTCCTAATGAAGGTGAGAAGGATGTTTCATTGCTTTCGAAAGGTATTGAGTAGCCTATTTTGTTTAATTGAGCTTTTTGAACTCATTCGATTGATTAAGATCATGCTCTGAAGATTCCTTATACGTCAGCGCACAGCGGTATCGAGAGTCACGTTTCGACAGCTAATCAGCCACACCTTCCATCCTCTCAGAGAAATAGCTGTAGTGAACCAGCAGAAGCGGGTGAAGCACCTCGCTTCGGCATGGAATGGTCGAGGCCTCAGCAACATGACAATGAGTTAGTAGTAATTTTTGAATAGCTTAACAGTTTTTCCAATCATGTAAGAACATCTTGAACATATTAAGAGCTAGGGGCGATCACGATGACGCGTCCACTGATAGTCGGGTTGATTTACAAAGAACTTCAACTCCTCTAGGATTGCCGTTTAGCAGGTCAGTTCCTTCTAATCTTTCCTAATATATTTCTCTAATGGGCGTAGCCTCTTATACAATCACCTAGTACATATTATCGCCTGTATCAATTTTTAGGGGATCTCGCTAGCGCTTTCGGTCGTGTACCTTCGATACATTCGCCGGAAAGCTCAGCCATGTATGATACAAAACACTTAGGAAGGTGAGTGAATTGCTTACTTTTTCGAGGGTTCACCTCCTTTAATTATTTTAGTGCTGCCACTGGTAATTACGGTAATGAGAGAATGCCCACCACATCTGAACCTTGCGAGCAGCGGGCTGGGCAGAATGCCACACACCCAGAGCCAGCGGAACATCACTATGCGGAGCCAGTAATTATGAGGACTGCACCACCACCTCAAAGGTATTTCTGTATACTGGTGGAGTGTTGGGGATCGGAAGTAGCTCGGCTGGTCCTTATATTGGGCTGTACGGAAATTTCCCGCTGATTTTGGTAGCACCATGTGAATGCCTTAGTTCTGAACTAATTTTCCATAATTTGCTGCAACTTTAAATGTCATTTTGAAGCGAGTTAATCGCTCCATCTATAGGTAGTGTCAGTTTTGTTCGAAAGTATTTGTTGCCGCTTTACTGAAGCTTTGAAAACTACCTGGTCAAAATGCGATTCGCACTATATCATTTTAACCTTAAATATCCGAAGAGAGACGTGAGCTCGTCGCAATACCAGCTATGTGTTTGGGTGTAAGATTCACAAAAACGCCCTGCACAACAGGTTCAAATGTTTCTTCGCAGAATATGCGAGAGGTAGAGTCGCATAACGGAATGATACAAACTATATCTATTCAGAATTGTAGAGAACCAACACTAAATTGATAATAATATCTCCTGTTAATTAAAAAAACGCAGAAGACCAAAAATTTTGAAAAAACGCCGTACAAGTGCGTGTACCGCTGATAGTCTCGGTTTCGAACACTCATACGTTCTCCTTCACCCCTCTTCTGCTCAATGAAAAAGACCCTTTCCTTGATTGAATTGTAACGTGAAACACTGGAAAAAATCGCAATAATCGTCGCGCCTCTTCTAAAACTGATCGGAGATTATGGTCTGCACACAGGGTACGACTCTTTCCCGCGAAGCGCCTTGAACTCACCCCGTAGCGCTAACCCTACAAAAAATGAATCAGATGGCTACTGAAGTTGCGTGACGAAAATCTTACTCATCAACCCTCGGGTACCCCCCCCCCCCCCAGGAGGCCCGTCGCGCGGCAAGAAGGCAGAGTCGGCGGACGAGTTGCAGCGCGTGATGTGCGATGTAGGACGTGCAATGGGACAATTTAACTTGACGCGAAATCCCTATAGTACGCGCGCGACTCGTCCGCTGACTTTGCCTTCTTGCCGCGCGACGGGCCTCTGGGGGGTACCCACCAACCCTCTTGCATATCCGCCGCCACTTCCTACTGTTTGGATAGCTTCTTTCGAAGAGAAATGCTTCGAAGTTCAGCATGATGCTAAAATGGCCTTCGCCGGATTTATCGCTTACAGAATTCCAGCGCTTCCAACAACTGTAATGTTTAACATCTATCTTGAAGAGAAGCGTATGGGGATTATAACAGCTTTTATTTCGACCGAAAGCGTTGTGATTGAACCGAGATATGCGCATTTGAATTACATTTATTACATGGGAAAAGACTCATACAAGGGCTTTAGTGTAGCCCACAAAGGAACAAACATAAAAAATTCAGTGTCAAAATCGACGGAAACTTTTCGGACAGCCCAATAGTTAAAAGTGCTATGGTATGAATGCTCACTGTGGAGCTGTGCTTTGTTTACAGGTTATCTGTAATCCATCCTAATAGTGGCCAGCATGGCTACTATGTACAACATAGACGCGTTCAAAGCGATCAACAACCGTACCGTGCGAGTGTATGTTTATCATTCACTACAATTTATATCTTCCATCCACTTCTAGTATTACGCATAGTGCGTATATGTGTTTGCTCAAATACAGACTAATTTTACTCCATTTTATTCTTCGCAGGATTCTAAAAGCGAGTTTTTCATGTGTTCGTACTTTTGACATACTTTGATTCATTTTCATTACTTCATTTATCTTTTCAGGTCCATGTGGTCCCTAAACCTGAGCCGACTTATGCAAAAGTGCAACGTGTTAGCGCTAACCAGCACTATCCGCTTATTAGTCAACAGGTATAAGGCCTACACATGAAATGACTGGATTATTAAAGGATGGCAATCATTAAGGGAACGCGTCGTGTGGAATCTGTGAGCGCGTTACCAAGCGAAAGACATTTTGAGAATGTTGAAGCGGAGAAAGTGACTGGGGAAATCGATAGAATGTTTGAATTTGTGGATGTAAGATGTTTTACCAACTCGAATTTCTGAAATTCCTTAAAACGTTATGTGCTGCGGCGTTAGCCCGTGGCGGTTTGACAACCTTCACAATCGTATTGACCTCGGTCATGGGAAAACGGTCGTATGTTTCTTTCAGTCCGATTTTTAGGAGCACGATGGACTAAGCACGTTAGGCCGTGAAACTGGATCTGAAAGCGTTATTGGTGTAGTGAAACACGGAGACTATGGAACTGTACGAGGTGATGACGTTGGGCACCTACCTGAATTGCCACCTATGCCACCGCAGCCTCCAACTCCACATAATCTAGATTCTACGAGACGTCGATCGGATCAGCCACTGAAGTATTCTGTGGGTGCTTTTGACGGTTTCTTTTCGAATGGTGATAGTGATACTTAATAGTGACACCATTACCCTACAAAGTGTTTTGTCATTATGAGCTCTGTGGAGCTTCGTGATTTTTTCTACTTTCTCAGCCTCTGCGACAAAGTTCCTTTGCCTACCAAGAAGAAAATCGAATCGTGCTCTATCATGATGTCTTTGAATACCAAGTGTCCGTATTTTAGATTAGCGGTTACCGCGATATGCAGCGCATACAGCGCATGGGTCGAGTGTCATCAGATGCTCCTCCTCGATTTTCCCCTCTAACGGCACCGACTCCTGGCATTGGTGTGAGTACGTACAAGTCAAGAGAAGGAACTATTGGGGAAAAGGTTCGTTGTTATCACCAATCATTCAGTCGATGTAATGTTTTGTGGTTTTGTAAAAGGGATGGACAAAAGAAGGTTGTGTTGGCTCATTTCAGGTAAGCACCATAAGCCGATATTCCCGCCCCAATACGCAACCTTCTGCTCTGGCAACGTCCACACCAGTTAACTCTCCTTTGGGTACAGGGTTGTCACAAGGTAATTGTGCTGAAGTAAAATCTATTTGATCACAACACCCTCGAATTTGCTTAGGGCCACCTGAAGCACCGAACCTTGATGACTCTTTCGTAAGCACTATCACGACTGCCAGTCACCTTCACGATGCCCATGAGGAATACAAACGCCAAATTGCGGTATGCTTCAACTCTTCAATTTCGATTATGTATCAGTTCCAAATGGTTGCCCGACTCAGTTTTTTTTTGTTTCAGAAGTTGAATCATCAAATTCGGGTTCAAGAAGAACAGATAGAAATGACGCTAAAAGTGCTGGCTTTGGCGCGAAAGAAGCAGAAGTCAATGCAAGAGGTATGAGGGGATGTTATAGTACAAAATTTGATGTTCTTGTTTTGTCATTGTTTATTAGTGGTTCAGTTCGTAAAGTCGGCTCTGATTTCATAATACATGTCAAAACCTGTATTGTTCAGCTGTCTGCACAGCGTACTCTTCTGCTGGCTCATGAACGTCTTGAACTCTTGCGATGTGAGGTAAATCGCATATCGGCTCTCGCGGCTGTACGCAACCCACCTCCTCCCGTCAGCCGAGATTTGCGTGGAACGATGACAATCTCGAATATCACAGTGCATCTGAATCGAAGCTTCTGTCAGAGACAGTATGATCACGGTAAGTTATGATGCTGATTAATCATTCACTGTTACACATTAGTTGGCATTACTTCAGAGACATCTTATGCTCTTCTGATTCTTCTAAAGTGTGGCGCAGAAGTGGAGGCGACTGGTCCGATATCCTTGCTAGCACATCAACCAGTGCGCATTCGCCAGCTAACGTTTGCTGAGCACGTTCAGTTTTCCAACCTGCCAGTTGATTTCAACGTAGTAGTGGAAGTGTATGCCATGGTTCGTTTGTTACGCAGATTACATCTTCTTTACATCCGATAGAGTTGCCAGTTACTGTACATGAGATATTGTGTGCACAGCCATAAGCTCTAAGATTAAGAAATTGCCCACCGCCAAACAAATGGAGCAGTCGTGCGCCACAAACATCGCCAACAAATGCCGTAATCTACTCAATCCAGTCTGTAAGTTTTTAGTCTTTTGTTGCAAACAACCATTCTCTTTTTTATTTCTTGCCTTCAAACTCGTCTGCTATCTCACCCTAGTAGCAAGTGAATTTTTGAAATTTCTTTTTGCATCTTTTTTGTTGTTGCATGGATCTTGTTGAATTGCAATCACTGTTTGTTTTAGCGGCGCACCGTCCAGGTCGCTCAGCATACCGTAGCGATGCTCAAGTGTCCGAGTTTGTTCGATGTGGATACATAATTCTGAATCGGGATACGGTGGGCGCTAATAAGTTCTATCTGGACGAAGCTGAGTACCCACTGGAAGGCATAATCGAAGTATACGCACGCTGCACCACGCTTCCTCCAGCGATTGAGGTCGACAATAGAGGGTTCTTGGTAGGTTGTTTAAGACTCCTAAAAGGGCCCAGAACTCTTCGAGTTTTCCATCTATTTTTC